TGAGATCATTTTCTGGATGTCACCAATAATATTTTTGTAATTTCTTGGATGATGCTCATTTCAGCATTACAAAGAATTGAGGACACAAAACAAAAGGTAGCAATATAAAAACAACATGCCAGAAACAGTAGCTATTGCTGAATGGGTAAGTAAAACATTTTACACGACTAACAACATACATAACATAATTAAAAACTGTAAAACACTACAAGAAGCGCTCTTCTGATCATCAAATCATAGTGTGTAGCCTTTACATGATACGTAATGACGCTAATAATAACGTAGCATAATCCGGCCCTCCAATTGGTTGGCTGTGAGTCGTCCTGTTTGATGCGGAAGTTGTAGTTTACTCGCTGCTCCCAGTTGTTTTGCAGGTGTTAGTCGCTGTGTCGGTGCCTGAAACAGAGGTTCGCAGAAATGTCCCTGTCATTTGAAGGAAGAGTGGTGCTCGTCACAGGCGCTGGAGGAGGTAAAACTACCGCCTGATTGTGCAGCATGTCACATTAGATTGGATTTAGACCTTTAGCTCCCGATGCTATTGAACTAATTGTGGCTGAGTTTGTTTCTGGAGAACTCTGGAGAAAGTTACGAAAGCTGCCTTGACGAGATGTCATTTCTCATAAATTCTAAATGAAGAAACAAAATGCAATTAACAACCTCAGAAAGTAACTGAATTCATATATAATACAAATATCGGGTTAACGACACTTAATTTATCAAACAAGAGGAGCAAAGTACAAATAACGCAATGGTCTATTATTACCCTGACTGTGTGAAAGGGCACAAGCACAAAGGCAGCAGGTGCTGTTGGATTTTGGGTGAATATTATTTAACCTCCTATTTTCCTCTATGCAGGTCTCGGGAAAGAATATGCCCTGGCTTTCGCCTCAAGAGGAGCCTCAGTAATTGGTAAATAGATAAATAAACTACAGCAAGAACTTTGGAGTAAATATCCTTCAACCTTTATGATACCCTGCCAATATAAATGGGGAAGGATTTTTTCTTAAAACCTTTTTTTTAATTGTTATTATACTGTCACAGTACAGAGCAAGGAAATGAACTTTCTGCATTTCTTGAACCACTGCACCAACGCTCCAACCACTTTTTACCCATTGTTATGATTATATTTAATCATTAAGTGATATAGCACACATTATAATGAGAAAATCAAGATTACTTCAACTGTACATTGCATTGCTGGAGAAAACTGCTTGGTCAGCGTTGCATTGCTTTTACTGAGTCAGAGGCACCATAGGCATGGTGTGAGTTTCTCACTGTATGAAAACTTGGATTAAAAGTTGCACAATACTTTAAAATAACAACTGGATCAAATCAGAATGCTTAAGAAATTTTACATCTAAAGAAATCCAGCAGATTGCATTAAGTTATTGACTTTTTGCAGAATTCACTCCTCCTATGCAGCAATCTCTCACGCCAA